TCCAACTCTTGGGCTCAAGTGATCTTCCCATCTCAGTCTCTGGGATAAATGGGACCACAGACACATGCCATCACATCAGGCTAATTTTTTATTTTTTATATTTCATACAGATGGGAGGTCTTGCTATGTTGTCCAGGTTGGTCTCGAACTCCTGGCCTCAAGTGATACTCCTTCCTTGGCCTCCCAGAGTGCTGGGATTACAGGCATGAGCCACTGCATTAGGCCTTACCTTATCTGTAAAGAGCTCTTTATGTATTCTGGATATTAATCCTTCGGTGTTATATGTGTTTCGGGTATTTTCTCTTCACTTTTCTTATGGTGTCTACTTTCTTTGTAATGCCTTGCAACCTCTTCCTCTTCACTGACTCCTTTCATGCATTTTGTGTGCATTATGAAGTCTCTCCTGAGGATTTTCTGAGAAGTTTGGACACAATAAAATTCCTTGTATTGTGGAAATCATTTTATATCTAACGTTATAATTCCTAAGTAAAATATAGTAAGATGATATAAATTGTGTAAATGGCGTGGCAATATAATCTTGACATTTATTACACTTGTGATTGGCACGTAGTAAATTTGTCATCAAATTCTGGCTCAGCTGTTAAGAAAGATTCTGATCTTAATACTTAACCTATCTCCTCTACTGAAAACCTTGTGTTTTTACTTTCCCCGTTAGAGTCTGCAGAAAACAAAAATAACGGTCTACCACCCATCACTACCACTTTTGTAAGAAGTAATAGGCAAGTTTATTATTCATAAGTAAAAAGACACTTTGTGTCAGCAAACATAGGGTGTGGTTTCATTGGCAGTGTTTGGGCCAACTCTTGTCATTGCTACACAGGCGTCAGTGGCTGGCGTTGGTTCAGCTGTGGTGGCTCTACTTCTCCAAGTAGTCCCAGGAAAGAACTCACAAGTTGTGAAAGACCTGAAGTGCTCATTGTGTTTGTCCATTAAGAATGTGTTTAATACCCATACCATTTAAAGTTTCAGTAAGTAGATGAGAAGGAGAAATCACTTTGCCTTCCTTTTAGGGTAAAGAGAGATTAAAGCATTAAAAACAGTGAGTAGGATGAGCCATTTCTTTTTCAGGAAACCCCCCTGTAGAGAAAGGAAGAGAGTGAGAAGGTGGTGATTGATGGTCCAGTACAAGGTAGATAAGATCCCTTTGCTAAAGCTCATGTATCAGTTTAAGGAAAGCAGTTTATCTTTGGAACTTTCAAAACTAATTTATAGTGGGTGCTGAAAACTTTCTTAAAATGGTACTTTGGAGACTTTACTAAATTTGTAACAACTTTGACAGTACTTAAATTGCGTATCTATCTGCATTTGTATTTTACAAAAATTTAGACTATATACCTAATTGTATTGAACCCCATTGAGAGTTGGTCCAGCTAATTTATCTTTGTTTCACTGTTACGGAACTTGAGCCTCAGAGAGATTTAAGTAATTGGCCCAAAGTGTAATCCGTATTATTTCTGGCAGAGTCAAAATTGCAGCCGAAATCCAACTTCAAATGTTACCTTCCTGGTCCAGTGATTTAAAAGTTAGCTTAATACTTTTTTTTCTATAGGTAAAGTATTTCAGGATCTCAAATTAGTAGTAAATTGACTTCAGTATTTCTCACCTGTGTGAGAAGTGCCTTTTATTTTCTTTATTTCATAATCACACAGGAGATTTTATTTCCTTTTCCTAAGATGAGTGTGTATGCAAGTCACTAAAGGTGGCTTGCATTCAAGAAGTGGGAATTAAACTCTACTTCCTTGATGGAGGAGTCTTTACATAAATTATTTGGAAGTCTTCTATATCGGAGATTTATCTCTTCTCTCCCATTAATTTATATATTTAGTCATTTATATCTGCATGGACTCATTGTTACTTATTTCATACCTGTACTTTAGGTTACAATCCAATACAAAGTAATTTATTTTGTTGCTCATATTGTTTTGGTCATAGGATGCCCTTTCAGAGTGGCTCCTGTGTCTCTTTTGCATGCCCCCATTGTTTGTTTTTTGAGCACTTTTTACTTTTTGGACCTGTGGTATGCTCCAGACTCTTTGTATGTTTCCCACCTCAGCCCTGGGATCAGCCATTTTCATAAGAGCTCTGGTTTCTTTTATGGGAGAATGGTATTGAAAACCAAGATCTGAGGTCAGGCACGGTGGCTCACGTCTGTAATCCCAGCACTTTGGGAGGCCGGGTTGGGCGGATCACCTGAGGCCAGGAGTTTGAGACCAGCCTGGCCAACATGGCAAAAACACGTCTCTACGAAAAAAATACAAAAAATTACCCGGCTGCGGTGGCACGCCTGTAATTCCAGCCACTCGGGGGGCTGAGGCAGCAGAATCGCTTGAATCGGGGAGGTGGAGGTTGCAGTGAGCCAAGATCACACCACCGCACTCCATCCTGGGCAACAAGAGTGAAACTCCATCTCAAAAAAAAAGGATGGGGGCGGGGAGCAAGATCCGAGGATTGAGTGTGCTTGTTGCTACTGAACTGTCATTGATTTTAAGCTAAACATGAATTCATACTGATGTCTGGACTCTAATCCAGAACCACATGGTTCATTCTAGCCTTCCCTCTTTGCTTAACTGTAACGTTCCTCTCCAACAGTAAGAAACCTGGCTCGCAGATCTGCCATCTGTTTATTTATTTGTTTGTTCTTCGTATTCATGTAGAATGGTTTCAGAATTGTTAATCTCTACTCCTAGAAACAACTTTACCAACTAGACTATAGTGTTTATGTGCAGTTCTTTTTGTCTTTAGTCTTACAGTTTTCAGTCATAGCATCATTTATCAAACTTATATAGACCAGCATCTTTTTTCTCTATCTCTCAGTGTGGTTATGACATATATTTGTATTCCAATTAGATTCTTTTGTCACAGTCTGCATTCTATTCTAGGATCCCCCTTCCTTTTACCTCTTGGTTGATTTTTTTTTTTTTAATGTTGCATACATTAAAGTTCACTCTTTCTGCTGTAAGGCATATTATTTAAATGGCCAGGATTAAACTTTATCTCTTTTTTTCCTTTGTAAGTAGAGGAGAACATCTCTTCTTTATAAGAGAAAGTTCCTTGGCCTCTGTAATATAACACTGGTCTACGTCTCCTACCTTTTAGCGATCATCTTTCTTAGTCTCCTATTGCATCTGTTGATTCCTTTCCCTGATGGGTATGTTCCTTTCTGCATTTGTACCAGGAGCACATTACTTTACTTTTTCTAACTTTAAGACATGGTTTAGTATATAGTAAGTCTAGGTATGCTTCAATGCTTGTCTTGTTCATTTTTCTAAATTCTTTGTTACTCTTACCTCCCCTACTGATAGAGGAGACAGCCAAATGCACTGGGAGCTTGCCTAAACATGCCCATGGGGGTGAAAAATTCCGTCCCTTAATACATGCACAGAAGGGAAATAAATCAATGTGGAGTGGCTCAGAATAAGGGGCTGCCTGTGCACTGGAAGAATGGGGTGAAGCCACCGGGAATTCTCATCTTATGTGAGGGGAGGAGCCTGGTCTCTTCAGCTCATGTGTGGTGGTCTGGTATTCAATCTGTGGAATGGGAACCTGTTGGCAGGACCCCCTTTGTTAGCTGAGAGCTTTCTTTTAATAAATTCCACTCTCCTCACCTTTCAGTGTGTCCACATGCCTGATTTTTCCTGGTGGTGACGTAAGAACTTGGATTTTAGCTGAACTAAGGAGCAAAAAATCCTGCGTCACTACCTTAGCCTTATCAACTTGAGTTACTTTATCTAAAGTATAAAACAAGCAAACAACTCTACTGGCATTTTTATTAGAATTGTATTAAATTTATTAATTATTTTGGGAAGAATCAGCATCTTTATAATATTGAAATTTCCCAGTTAGGAGCCAATCTACCAATGTCAATTATCTATATATATCTTTGTGTTCCTTGGTTTTCATGTCATTTGTATTCACAAAACTGTCAGGTTAATACATGAAATAAGGGTCATGTCTGACTAATCTCTGACTAATCTCAATAGACTAGTTTGAATAAGAGTCAACTTCTGACTAATGTCTGAAACCCTATTTCTGTGATATGCCCTTTTAATAATGACTACCTTATCTTGCCATTTAGTTGTGCGTCTGTAAAGTTTGAGACTATTTTCTTTGAATATATGTACTTAGAAGCTGTTACTGTGATATTATGGCTTAATTTACTTGTTTCATCAGTGAGTTACAATTACAAGAATTACTTGAAATAGATGACTAGTTAGGAGCATTCATTTCAATTCTGATACTTCAAGAAAATGTTTTTAAAAGTTTTTTTTTTAATTTTCTGTTTAGTTTATTCCAACTATCAGAAATGTCTTCACCATTCACTTTAGAGCCCATCCTTCTATAATGGGCAGTTGGAGTGTTACCAGAACCTTGGCTTTTTCATAACAAGTATATTTCAGAAACTTTAACTCATAAATTCCTTATTATATATCACTGTTAGGTTGTGTTGGAGTGCATTTTATTCTTTTAGAACTGCAGTTTTCATTAACTATTAGACCATAGTCTTAAGTTAGAAAAGGAGTATTTAAAACTGCCTCATGGTATTAGTTGAGTACAAGGAAGTAATGCTAGAGATCAGACCATTTCCCTTATGGAAATTTAAAAATAAAAAAATAAAATTGATTAATTTTTTGATAAATTCTGTTTAAGCAAATCTTTAGTGCTGCATCCTCCCCAGATTATTGCTTTTGTGTTACCTTTCAATTTCTGCCACTCCTTTTCCCTTACTCACCAAAAATTAGAGAAGAGAAAATAAGAGTGAGTGGGCAGGATTTGTGTATTAAGAATACCAAAGAGCTGTCCACATTGGGATCTCTGTAGAACTTTTTCTTGATTTTTCTAGAGTTTTAAATGGTGAAACCTGTCATTTATAAATTACTGACATTTTAATAGTTCATTAAATTCCTCTTGGAATCTTTGCTTTTTAAAACCAGGAAATAGAAGTAATATCTTCTAGTTGATGGGCTTTGATTCTTCCATAGATTCATCTGAAAACTACATTAAGATGAAGACCTTTGAAGGTTTCTGTGCTTTACATCTCGCTGCAAGTCAAGGACATTGGAAAATCGTACAGATTCTTTTAGAAGCTGGGGCAGATCCTAATGCAACTACTTTAGAAGAAACGACACCATTGTTTTTAGGTAAGTATGCTATTTGTGGTACCGTTGCAGTTTTTCATCATTTTTTTGTTAAACTAAGCTCAATTTTTCCTTCAGCTGTTGTAATTATAGTATGTTCTTTTGGCAACTATTATACCACTACTTCTTTGATTTTGAAACTGAAAAGATATTTTTAAAGGTTTTGCTCTTGTTTTCTATTCTTGGGTGGTAGCTTCTGGGACTTTGTTTATTTAAAGGTGCAAAATCTGTTTTGAATTGTAGGCACCATCATTGTTCTCAGTGTTGTTCTGAAGACTAGGCATCACTGAAATTATAGCAATAGTTGCAAGGTTACCTGTGAATGTTTTATGTTTGCTTTTGCCTTTTCTTAGCATTAAAAAATTAAGAAGCTTTTATGGAAGAAATCACCAGCTTATACTTTAATGCCAGTTAATGTGTTGCCTGTATGGATCACTGTTCACACCTCTTCCATTAAAGACTGTTTTTTAATTCCTTAAGGATGACAGCCAAATTCTAAATGGCTTTCTTCCAATAACTGTCTTTTTTCTTCTTTTCCTCCTTTCTTCTATTCGATTCTATTTGTCTTCAGGGACATTGTGTCCCATAAAGTTTATGAGAAAATTGAGTCAATGAAGTGTTTGGAATAGAATCAGTGCATCTGGACTGTAGTTTTGGTCCTGCCACATGTAATTTGTATATTTATTTATTTACTGCATGGTTCAGTGTCCTCACTTATGGAATGAGAGTAATAGTACCTATCTGGTCTTTGTTATTGGGCTGAGAATAAATGTCTATGAAAGTACTTTTTTCCCTTGTGGACTTAAAAATATTATTTAAATTTATGTACTTTAGTAAAATTCATTTTTTTTGGTATAACAGTTCTGTGAGTTTTGATGTATTCATAAAATTCTGTAATGACAACAATCAAAATATAGAACCATTCCATCACTCCTCAAAATTCCATCATGCTGCCAATTTTTAATCAATATTTTCCTCCGTCCCCCTGGCTCCACCCCTGACAGCGACTGATCTGTTCCTATCCCTGTAGTTTGCATTTTGCTGAATGTCATAGACATATAACATGTGTGTATATATATATATATACACACACACACACACACACACGCACACCATATAGCCTTTGAGACTGGCTTCCTTTAACTAGCATGATACTTTTGAGATTCATCCATATTGTTGCGTGTATCAATAATCCATTCCTTTTTGTTGCTGAATCCTATTCTATTAAATAGATGTAATACAGTCTATCCATTTATCAGTTGGATATTTGAGTTTTCAGTGTTCAGTGGTTATGACTAAATCTAAGAACATTTGCAGACAGGTTTTGTACCAATATAAGTTTTAATTTCTCTTGGGTTAATACTTAGGATTGGTATGACATATAGTAAATATGTGTTTAACGTTGGAAAACAAGTTGGAAGTTTTTTTCTACCGGTTTGCATTTCCTTCAGTAATGTTTGAGACTTTTAGTTGCCCTATATCCTTGTCAACATTTGCTATTGGCAGCTTTTTCTTTTTCTCCCTTATATTTTAGTAATTTTAATGGGGGTTTAGTAGTTGTTGTGGGAAGTCAGGGACCCCGAATGGAGGGACCGGCTGAAACCACGGCAGAAGAACATAAATTATGAAGATTTCATGGACATTTATTTGTTCCCCAAATTAATACTTTTATAATTTCTTACACCTGTCTTTACTGTAGTCTCTGAACATAAATTGTGAAGATTTCATGGACACTTATCACTTCCCCAGTGAATATCCTCGTGATTTCCTATGCCTGTCTTTATTTTAATCTCTTAATCCCGTCATCTTCTTTGTAAACTGAGGAGGATGAATGTCGCCTCAGGACCCTGTGATTGTATCAGCTGCACAAATTGTTTGTAGAGCATGTGTATTTGAACAATATGAAATTTGGGCATCTTAACAAAAGAACAGGATAACCGTGATGTTCAGGGAACGAGAGAGGTAACTTTGAACTGGCCGCCAGCGAGCAGGACGGAACAGAGCTATATTCCTCCTCTTTCACAAGCAAATAGGAGAAATATTGCTGAATTCTTTTTCTCAGCAAGGAACATCCCTGAGAAAGAGAATGCGCCCTTAAGGTAGGCTTGTAGATGGCTCCTTTTAAGGCGTCCCGTGTTTTATGGTCAAAGCTGATAGGATGAAATAAGCCCTGGTCTCCTATAGTGCTCCCAGGCTTACTAGAATGGGAAAATTCCCACCTAATAAATTGTGATCAGACAGGTTACCGGCTCTCAAACACTGTTTCCTGATAAGATGTTATCAATGACAATGTGTGCTGGAAATTTCATTAGCAATTTTAATTTCTCCTCATCTGGTGGTCCTGTGATCTCGCCCTGCCTCCATTTGCTTTGTGATATTGTATTATCTTGTGAAGTATGTGATCTCTGTGACCCACACCCTGTTTGTGCACTCCCTCCCCTTTTGAAAATCGCTAATAAAAACTTGCTGATTTTATGGCTTGGGGAACAGCACGGATCCTGCCGACATGTGATGTCTCCCCCCGACACTCAGCTTTAAATTTCTCTCTCTTGTGCTCTTTCCCTTTATTTCTCAGCCCAGCCGAGACACTTGGGAAATAGAAAAGAACCCACGTTAAACATCGGGAGCGGGTTATCCCGATATCTAGTATCTCACTGTGGTTTTTATTTGCATTTTCCTAATTGCTGATGATGTTGAGCATCTATTCATATGATTATTTTCCATCTGTCCTTTTTTCCTTGTTACTTTTGTATTTAGACATTTTGTTTTGAAATAATTTCAGACTTATGGAAAGTTAAGGATATTCTGTACAACTACAGAGGAAGCATTTATTGAGGCTCAGCTATATGCAGTCTGTATTCTAGTTGCTTTCCTCAAGAAATCTTCTATGTAGAGGAGTAAAAAAAGTGATTTTACAAGTTTGAGATTTTAAAAGGGAGAATAATTAGTCACCCTTGAATGACAGAAGACTTCACGTGCAGAGTGCTGTATTAACAGTAACAATAACATTTATTGAGCAGAGTATATACTAAGCCTTGTGTGGGTGTTTTACATGAAGTAGATAATTGGATCTTCAGTATGATTCTGGGACATGTAATATTATTCCCACTTTTACAGGTGAGGAAACTTTAGAAAGACTGGATTTAGGAAGAGAAGAGCTATCCTGGAATCTTGATCTTGCTGTTGTCTGTGTTTTGGCTAGAAAACTGATTCAGTGAACTATTAAAAACATGTTTATTGACAAAAGGTTTCCTAATCACATACATTTGCGAAACACTATGTGCTATATCCTCCAGCGTAGAAAAACATGAAGACATTACACATGTAACTTATTGTGCCCACCCAGTCTGAAGTATCCACTAATCTCTTTATGCATTCTCTTTTAGTGTCTTAATCACTGACTCCGGTTAATTATTGTTTATTTACTTCCCCCTTTACTAGAAAGAATGTTCCATGAAGGCAGGGATTTTATTCATGTTGTTCACTGTTTTAACTCCCAAACTCAGTTTAGTGCCTGGTATATGGTAGGCGTTCAGTAAATTATTTGTTAAATAAAAGAATGAAGGTTTCTGAGAAGACCTCTCATTAAACATTTGTTTAACGCAGAGCTTTGAAACGTATTTGACCGTACTGTTCTTTCGCTCTTGTTATCCAGGCTGGAGTGCAATGGTGTAATCTTGGCTCACGCAACCTCTGCCTCCCGGGTTCAAGTGATTCTCCTGCCTCAGCCTCCCAAGTAGCTGGGATTACAGGCCCCTGCCACCACACCCGGCTAATTTTTGTATTTTTAGTAGAGATGGGGTTTCACCATGTTGGCAAGGCTAATCTCGAACTCCTGATCTCAGGCGATCTGCCTGCCTCAGCCTTCTGAAGTGCTGGGATTACAGGCGTGAACCACTGGCCCTGCTGTATTCTTTTTCTTTATGGAGCATTTAGGAATACCTCAAGGAACACTGATATTCCATGGGACTATTTGAGAAATGCTATTCTGGCCACATAGTTTACAGTTTCAAATTATTATTATTAGAGTCCCATTTATGAAATTCAGTATTGTATCTACTTTTATTAGTATTTGGAGAAAATTAGAGATGCAGAGTGTTTAGGGGTTTATATTTTAACATATAGTTAACTGGAACTTTTTATGTTAATGAAGCAAGAGATGGGAAATAATTCAAACCAGTAAATAACTTTAAATTGCTTATTTTTAGTAGTAGGATTTATTTTGTTTCTTTGGCAGTGAATTTACCATTTTGTAAATGGTAAATTTGTATTGACTAATAAATAAATATTTTGTATTGACTAATACAAAATACTGTGCCCGGCCGATATAGTATTTTAAAAAAGGAAAGTAGAGCGTTAGTGTTTGTGAAAACGTAATGTGAAAGGGCCAGGTGTGGTGGCTTACGCCTGTAATCTCAGCACTTTGTGAGGCTGAGGTGGGTGGATCACCTCAGGTCAAGAGTTCAAGACCAGCCTGGCTAACATGGTGAAATTCTGTTTCTACTAAAAATACAAAAAATTAGCTGGGTGTGGTGGCACATACCTGTAATCTCAGCTACTCGGGAGGCTGAGGCAGATGTTGCAGTGAGCCAAGATCGCACCATTGCACTCCAGCTTGGGCAACAAGAGTGAAACTCTGTCTCAAAAAATAAATAAATAAATATAGTGTGGAAGAATGGACATGTTGGAAAAAAAAGGAATGGACATATGACTCTTCTGTGAGATAATACGGGCTTCAGTGTCTTCTCTGTCTCATGAGTCATAGGACAAATTTTAGCACTCTGCCTTGGTCACCTTTACATTTTTTTATTTTTCAACGTGGGATCTTGCTCTTTTGCCCAGGCTGGAGTGCAGTGGCAGAGTCATAGCTCACTACAGCCTCAAACTATTGGGCTCAAGCTATCCTTCTGCCTCAGCCTCCTGAGTAGCTGGGACCACAAGCACACGCCACCACAGCCAGCTAATTTTTTTTTAATGTTTAATTTTTGTAGAGTTGAGGTCTT